TAGAGTGACTTGCGCAGTTGGCACACGCGCGAGTCCCCTTCGCCGTAGGTGTGCGGCTGCTCCACGTAGATCACGGCGTCCACTAACGCGTACAGGAACGCGTTCTTCACGTCGATCTGGCGGAGTGGTAGGTGCCTTGCAGCTGCAATGGCGAGCAGGATTCGAACGGAGGTATGGCGGCTAACTGGGGCGAACGTCTGGTCGAAGTCGATGCCATGCCTCTGATCGTAGCCGCGAACCACCCAACGCGCCTTGAAGCGCTCGATCGTTCCGTCCGCTGCGGTTTTCACGCGGAAGACCCAGTTCCCCGAGAGGATTCTTGCGCCTTTGATCGCCGCGCGGTCGACTAGCACCCATGTGTCTCGTGACTCCGCGCCTTGATCTCTGCGTCCATTGCTTCGCGCAATTCCTTGCTGTGTGGTCCAGAAAGAGCTTCGCGCGGATTTCGGGGCTCGATGACACGTGGCGCCTTCGAAGTTGCGGTGTGAAGTCCGAGCAGCTGCAGTCCTGAGATAGTGCTGTCGTGGCGACGTTGCGGGATGACTTCATGTACGTCGTCGTCACCGCTTTCTGGTTCAGGAGGCGCTGATGGTGCTGTGCCTCTGCCGCTTCCGCCTGTTCCGCTTCCGCCTGCTGCGCCCATTCCTCCTCCCGAGGAATCGTCGTCGTCGTCGTCGCTGCTGCGTCGTTCTTCCCACACGAACTCGCCCCTCGTGTCCTGCTCCAAGATTGCTGCAGCGGCTTCGTCTTCGGGCGTTGCGTAGCTGTGCCCATCGTTCGCGTAGACGCGGTTCGCGTTCGTTATGGTAGCTGAAGCTGTGGGTGAGGTAAGGTATCAGGTGAGGTATGGTAGTCTGATTCTCTCCCCTCTCTCTTCCCCCTCCCCCCCTTGTCTTTTTTGCAGCCTGAGAGTGGGAGCACTGGAGCAAGGACAGGAGAGTCAAGTCCACCCTCTTACTCACCTCCTTCTCTCTCCCTTTTCCCTTCCCTCCCAGCAGCACCCTGCCTGGACCACAGTGGACTCCCCTCCTTCCGTTCATCCCCCCCTCCCTTCCCGACCCCCTTCCCAGCAGCCCAAGGCATCATGGCGCTCTGCATGGCTCTGGTAGGTAGAGGTAAGGAGGCATGGGGGTGAAGTGTGGGGTGGGTGGGTGGGTGGGAAGCATGAGAGTGAGTGGGCAGTTCACTGCCTTAGGGGCAGCACCTTCTGAGGTTGTGCGTTGTGGGCCGGGTGTGGTGGGTGGAATCTGTGCGGCACGGCACTCGGTGCTCAAGTAACCGATCTGGCGTTCAAGGCCTAATGGACACCGTCAGAGCCGACCGGCCGGCGGCTCTGGTTCGCGTCAGCTCTGGCTACGTCAGGGGTGGGATTTGAGTCTTGGGCTGGAAGCAATTTTCCACTACCACACCTCGCCCCACAAGGCACCGCCTCTGGGGGTGCTGTTTCCTTGAGGAAGTGAGCTCTCTGCTGCTCCTACTGCTGGTAGGTGAGAGTGGGGATGGTCTGGGTGGGTGAGTGAGAGAGAAGGGGCCTTAAACCCCTTGGGTGGTGTGTTGGTGGCAATGGTGGGAGCCTGAATCCCCCAGGGTAAGTGGAGTGAGTGGGCGAGGACAAAAGGGGTGCTGAAACGAAAGCCCAGGGTGAGTTGAGTGAGGGGCAATGGTGTGGGCCTGAATCCTTGGGAGAGTGGGCTTTCTGCTGCTCCTACTGCTGGCAGGTGAAGGGGGGGATGGGCTGGGTGGGTGAGTGAGCTTGAATGGGGCTGAAACACCCCTTGGGGGATGAAACCCCGTGGCTGGGTGAGTGAGAGGGAGGGGAACTGAAACCCCTTAGGTGGGTGAGTAAGGGGGAAGGGAGCTGAAACCCATTTGGGTGGGTGACTGAGAGTGAAGGGGGCTGAAATCCCTTGGGTGGGCGACTGAGAGGGAATGGGTTTAAAATCCCTCGGGTTTGTGAGTGAGAGGGAATCGGGCTGAAACCCTTCGCATGTGAATAATAGGGTCGGGTGGTGAAACCCCTTGTGTGGGTTGAGGAGAGAATGGGGCTCAGATACTTTGGGTGAGTTGAGTCGAATGTGAGCGTGAGTTAGGGAGTGTGTGTGAGTATGAGTGTATGTGAGTCTGTGTGTTTGTGGGTGGGTGGGTGGGTGTGGGTGTAATATAAAGTGTTGTGTGTATGTGAGTGAGTGAGTGTGTGTGTGTATGAATGTGTATACGTGTGCATATATGTGTGTTGGTGTGAATGAGTGTGACTAATTGACTGATTGAGGACGTGAGTGTAAGTGAATGCGAGTTAGTATGAGTGAGTGACAGTGAGCGATTGTGACTGATTGCGAGTGGAAATGTGTGAGTGAGTGAGGAAGAGTGAGTGTGGGTGAGTGACTGAGTGTCAGTGCGAGTGAGTACAAGTGGGTGAATGTGAGTATGATGTAGAGTGAGTTTGTGTGTATGCCAGTGTTGGTGACTCTATGTGTGTCGAAGTGTGTGTGAATGTGCATTTGGCAGGTGAAAATGACATCGAGATGCTCCAGATGGTTGGTTTGGGTGTGGCAATGGCAAATGCTGGCCCTTCAGCCAAGGCAGTGGCGACCATGTGTCGAGCTCAAACGACCTTGATGGCTTGGCTGGCAGCTGTAGTGGAAAAATTTGCCCTCACTGCTGGACCTGGGTGCCGGGACTAGGGTGTGAAGGCGAGCAGAACTCCTTTGGGTGGAGTATTCAGTCCGTGCACTGGACGCAGTCGGACCCGAATTCTGGGAGGGCCTAATATCGCAGCGACTTCTGCGCAGTTTCAGCCCATTTTGAACGTTTTTGTAGGCTAGTGCTTGATTAGCGTTAATATATTGAGATTCATATACCGTAAAATATATTTACACGCAAACTGGGTTTCTTCCATACCCATAATGAAATTTGCATCATGTCGACTGGCTTCTCCAATATTGTAGATAGCTGACAGCCTAGATAAACATTAATAAGCTTGTCATAGGGATTGGTTGTGGTTTTTTGGAGCTACTTATCGTCAAGTTTCCATGTATAGTACACTTGCAGGCTGGGCGAAACGCCAACTCTGGATTCAGGTGCTTCTGCGATGATTCGTAGAAATACAGGCGGATACTTCTCAAGGAACTGCACTGTTTGAGGAGGCACTTGACAAGCCCATTCAAACAGAATTGTGCATGCACTCGCTCACGTTTTCCAGCAAAATCTCGCTCTAAACCAATCACAGTCTCGGAATCCACGCTGGAAGGAGGAAATGTTACACATGATGCCTGATTGAGCCCCTCCCGGTTGCCTTGTGAAGGGGGCGTATAAGCTGTATCGTGCGTCTCGCCTAAGTTTCGTCAATTCGCAGCTAGCTTAAAAGGATTCGCAGGTGCTTATATGAAGGATCTGTAACCTCCGTTGACAATTTGACTTCAGTCTCTTCATTTTGACTTCGGTTGTTTCGTTGCTATTGGTTCATAACCCAGCGACGCGCTTGTACCGTGGGTGCAACAGGCTGGGGAAAAAACCTCAGGTGCAGCGTTTCCATCCGAAGCAGAGAAAATTCGCGTGCATGGGGTGGGCATCATCTGTACCACAAGGGCTCCACGCGCTCGACAAGGCGCACCGCCGCTGGGTCCATAAATTTACAAGATACAACGCGATGCGGATTTGGGATACTGACGAATCCTGCCCTGATGTCATGCTGCCCTCGTGTATGATCTCGAGAAGAGATAGCCAAGTGAGGTATTCGGGTGAATCATAGTAGACCAATCTGGATATACCGTATTCGTAAAAATGAAGGGTTATGTCTTCGTAGTCCTGAGGTATAATCCTGAGGTCATTTACTTTTGGGAAATCGTGAAAGTATAATGGGCCGCCTACCCAAGAATAGCCCCTCCTACGAGCCGCCTCCATGCGCGATGCGTCCCCTTCCGCAACCTGCCCTGGCGGATATGTTCGCGGCACGTGGGCTCCACGCCACCACCACCAGTTTCGCAGGGCTGCTGCGCGCCTCTCCGCTCCGCTCGCCTCGCCGTTCATGCCTCTCATCCGCCAGTCCTTGTTTGCCAGAAGAAAGCTTTCTTGATAAGCGACGGTGGAAACAGGGCATGCTGGAGGGTCGGGCTCGACGCACCTCCGCGCATCCGGAATCAAGGGAAGGAAATGAATTGTCGCACACGGAAAAGGGGAGAAGGAATTTCCAGACGGAGTGACACGTGACAACCACAACAAAGCGCGTAGCGTACCGTACTTTGGCGAAGTGCTGCCCAGCCCTGGAAAAACAGCATAACCCGGTTTCGGTTGTACGGGGTGGGGTGCGATATCGGCAACAGTGAGCGAAATCCACCCATCCTTCGTCCTAGAATTCCTGTCCGCTAGTGCTGCAACTCTTCTGTTCCTTGGCTCGTCTCTGCGCCGCATCTCGGTCTAAGCTTTCTGCGCAAGCTTGAGGTGTCATCTGGCAGGCCGTGCCCCATTTCTGGTTTTTGATTCACATTGACTGCCCCCGCTACCACACGCCACCGCACGATGCTCCGCGCACTCGCAGCAGCACAGCAGCGAGAATGGGCGCGCGGGACAGGAGGAATGCAAAGGCCGCCATTTGCCACGCTAAGGCTCCAAAAACAGCCGCTAATACTGTTCGTACGCACACGTAGTGTGCTAGTTGCGTTAGTAGACCGCACTAGACTCCCTCACACTTGGCGTTGGTAAACGCACTTCTCCTTCTCGCCTTTCCGACCACCATCGTCGCAATCTCTAAGTGTCACTTCGTCGTCGCGGTGGCACCGCCGCATGATCTCGAATCCCGTCGACTCACTGCGCTTGATCGCAGCACACTAACGAATACCGAATCCCCACCGTGCCGAGTCGCACTCCGGATCTTAATATCGGACCGTCACGGTGCCGCGCCGCCCCTGCCTTGTTGCTGATCGCAGCACACTAACGAATCTCCACCGCGCGCGTCGCACTCGGATCCTTACATCGATTCGTCACGTTGCCGCACCGGCCCTGCCATGTTGCTGACCCTATCAGCGTCGTCCATTCCGTCGGATTCCCTCGCTTTGCGCTCCACAACGCGACGCCCCTACTCGCTGCCGTTTCGCGCCCTTTCGCGCGCCGCAGCCCCCGGCAAGGAGGGGCCTTTCGCCGCGTTCGCCCCCCGCACATGCGTCATGACCGCCGCTGCGCCCATCGCGGACGATCTGCGCGCGCTGGACAGTGGCGCTCACCTTCCCCCGCAGGACTCCGCGGGGAAGAGCTCCGCGGACTTGGCGGAGCGCAGGGATGATGTCGCGCAACAATCTCGCGGGGAATGCTCGCACGCGGAGAAGCGGAAGCTGAACGCCAGCGCCGATGCCGACGAATGCCGCACTGGCGGCGATGCGGCGGCGGCGCCGCCCGAGGGAACGGAGAGCAAAGCTGACTCGACGAGATCCGCGGAACCCGCCGCGAAGAGACCCCGCGGGAGCGCCGATCCCGGCGAGAAACCGCCACTGGCGCAGCTGGCGGAGACGATCAACCGCGGCAGCGGCGGCGGCATCTCGCCGCGCCCTGCTCCCGCCTCACCGCCCGCCGCCGCGCCTCACCTTGCGCCTGCGGTTGCTGCTCCGCACCACTCCTCTGAGCTTCCGCCCCGCCTCCCCTGGGCGTCGCCGCCCGTTGACTCGACGGTCAACGCGACCGCCGGCTGTCCCGCTGCTGACGTGGATGACAAGTCGGGGGAGAGCGGCGGCGCGGGGTTGGAGGAAGAGGATGAGGCGGAGGGGGATGAGGGCGAGGGGGAAGGCGAGGAGGCGGTTGGCGGGGTGACCGCCGCGGATGGCGGCGCGTGCGGCAAGAAGAAACGGTACCGCTACAAGCGGCTGTCTAAAGCGGGTTACATTCCGGACGACGGGCAGCACTGGCACAAATACGGGCAGAAGAATCTCGTGGATGCCGGATACTGCAGGTGAGCGCGCGGGGGCGGGGTATGTGGGATGTGTAGTTGAGTAAGCGGAGAGAGAATGTGTGTGTGAGTGGGATTTGTCGCTATCAGGGATCTATAGAGTTCGGAAAGGCGGCAAAGCGATGTGCTCCACCACGACTCACCACGCTGCACTGCACACACCCATTCCCTGCAGCCTCTCACGTCTCTCACCCTCTGCTTCCCGTCTCCCTCCCCGCTCACAGGGCGTACTACCGGTGCGCGCGGCGGAGCGCGGGGTGCGCGGCCAAGAAGACGATCGACTTCCCCATTCGCTGGGGGCTGGACATGCGCGTCACGTACAGCGGCTCGCACACGCACGGCCTGCCGCCCAGGCTGCAGCGCGAGGTCTTCACATACGCCACCACGCCCGCCCAGCTGCCGCCCAACATCTCCGTGCCGCCCAACGTGCTCGCTGCTGCTGCGGCTGCCACTGCTGCTACAGCCGGGGTTGCTACAGCCGGGGCTGCTACAGCCGGCGGTGCTACAACCGGCGCTGCTAGCTCCTCTGCTGCGTCTGCGGAATCCAATCCCGCCAATGCCGGCCCGTCCCCCATCTCCCCTCCGCTCACTGCTTCCCCCGCCCCACCCGCCCCTGCTCCTGCTGCTCCTGTTGCTTCTGCTCCTGCTGCCGCTACTCACCCTGCTGCCTCTGCCCCTCCTGCTCTCAACTCACCTGTTGTGCGCGGGGCTGGTAACCAGGTAACTGGTAACACCGCGCACGCATGCAGCCCCGGTCACCACGTGCAGACACGGCCCACCCAGACGCCTCCTCGCTTCCTCTCTCCACAGCAACCCCAGCAGCAACCCCAGCAGCAGCAGCAGCAGCAGCAGCAGCAGCAGCAGCAGTACCAACCCCAGCAGCAGCAGCAGCAGCAGCAGCAGCAGCAGCAGCAGCAGCAGCAGCAGCAGTACCAACCCCAGCAGCAGCAGCAGTATCAGCAGCAGCAGCAGCAAGCAGCACAGGGCTACCGCTTCAGCCCCACAACGCAACAACCCATGCCACCCAGTCCGGGCCTGGCCTCCCCTGTTCCCTCCGCGTCCTCCCTCTTATCCTCCTCCCCCTCCCCCTCCCTCTTGACTCTTCCGCCCGCCCACCGCCCCTCTCCCGGCGGAGCCCCCGCCGCGCCTGGCGGCCCCCTTCAGCAGCAGCAGCAATGGCAGCCGGAGCAACAGAGATTGGAGCAGCAGCACCACCAACAGCAGCAACAACCGCAATGGCAGCAGCAACACCAGCAACAGCACACCGCTTCACCTGCACAACCCGCCCAATTGAACCCTCCAGGAAACTTCATGCTGCCGCCACCCGTCTTTGCAGCCAGCAGCCGTGGAAGCAACGCGGAGCCTTCCCAGCCCGTGGCTGCATCAACCTTCCGCCCCTTGACCGCCCCGTCCTCCTCCTTCCACCGCTACCCTCCCGCTCCTCCCGCTTCCGCTCCTCCCGCTGCTGCCATCCAATCTGCTGCTCCTTCCGCTGCTCCGTCTGCTGCTCCTGGCGCTGCTGCTGCTGCACCTGCTGCACCTGCTGCACCTATTGATTCCCAGCGCCCACTCATGCCGCCCCCGCACGCCGTCACCCCGCCCCAATACATGCAGATGCCGCCCCAAAGCATGCCAAAGCCGCCCCAAAACACGCCAATGCCGCCCCAAAACACGCCAATGCCGCCCCAAAACACGCCAATGCCGCCCCAAAACACGCCAATGCCGCCCCAAAACACGCCAATGCCGCCCCAAAACACGCCAATGCCGCCCCAAAACACGCCAATGCCGCCCCAAAACACGCCAATGCCGCCCCAAAACACGCCAATGCCGCCCCAAAACATGACCATGAACATGCCCATGCCATCTCAGGCATCAGCCGTCGCTCCCAGCTGCACCTGTCCCATCCACCACCACCACCCCCAGCAACCCCAGCAGCACCATCACTACCCCCACAATCACCACCAGCCCCAGCAGCAGCAGCACCCCCACCCCAATCCTCCCCCCTCCGCCTTCGCCCCCCCTCATGCGCCCGCCGGCCCCCCTGCTTCAGTGCTCGCGCCTTACGCCGGCGCTGCGGGGTGCACTGGCAAATCGCAGATAGCAGTGCACTACCAGCCAGACACGCTGACTCAGCAAGGAGTGGTGGTGAGTCAGCAAGGGGTGGTGATGAGTCAGCAAGGGGTGGTGAGTCAGCAAGCTTCAGCAGGACAGCAGTCCCTCGCACCTCCCTCTCCACTTCTCCGCCTGCCCTCCTCACTGCAAGCACCAACCCACACTCACACAAGCAGCCCCGCCTGCTCCTTCTCCACCCCTCCATACCCCTCCTCCTCCACCTCCTCCACCCACACTCTCTCCCTCTCCCCCCCGTGCGCCCCCCCCCCTCACCTCCCCCTCTGTGCTGTCATCTCCCCCTCCCCCGTTCAGTCCAAACGCCCGCCCATGCTGCAGGCCTCCCCGCAGCTACAGCCGTCCCAGCTACAGCCGTCGCCGTCCCCGCTACAACCGTCACCGCGACAATCGCCAGCGCTACAGCCGGGGCTGCTGCAGCTACAGCCGTCAGCTTCGCCAGTGCAGCAATGCACGCCTTCCCCTCGCCTGCAGCAGGGCGCACAGCCCCAGCCACAGCCACAGCCACAGACGTGGGCTGCTGTGCCGCCTGCAGGGGTAACTTGCTCGCCTGCGCAACCTTGCACGCTGCACCCGCCTTCTGTGTCACCTGCTGCTCCGTGCCTGCAACACACTGCTGCGCCCTGCTGCCCACATGCCTCATTGCCCTGCCAGCAGCAGCAGCAGCAGCAACAGTGGCAGTACCGACAACAACAGCAACAGCAACAGCAGCAGCAGCAGCAGCAGCCGCAGCAGCAACAGCAGCAGCAATGGCAGCAGCAGCAGCAGCAACAGCAGTGGCAGCAACAGCAGCAGCAACAGCAGTCGCAGCAACAGCAGCAACAGCAGCAGCAACAGCAGTGTCAGCAGCAGCAGCAGCTGCAGCCGCAGCAGCAACAGCAGTGGCAGCAGTGGCAGCAGCAACAACAGCAGCAACAGTGGCAGCAACAGCAGCAGCAGCAGCAACAGCAGCAGCAGCAGCAGCAGCAACAGCAGTGTCAGCAACAGCATGTGTGTTCGCATGCTGTTGCTGCTGCTACTGCTCCTGCCCCTCCCGTTCTCTCCACATTCCATACAACAACCATGGTAACTGCCTCGCAGGCGGTTACCAGATCGCACAGCACCCGAGCAGCAACTACCCCCCACGCGCACCACTTCTCTACTCTCAGTGCTGCTGGTGGGGCCAGTCAAGAGGGGACAGCAGCACAAGCAGCGGCGCAAGCGGCCCCTCAGGCTCAGCAGGGGGAGGGAATGATGCTGCTGGGGAAGTTCATTCCATCGCCCTCCCCGTCCCCGTCCCCGTCCCCTTCCCCTGGTGACTCGCCGCGCAGACGCCTGAAAAGAGAGGAGCCGTTTCCGGTGTGTCGGGATGAGCAGCAGGGGCGCGTGACGAGGGCGAGGGGGGGAGGTGCGAGGGGGAGTGGAGGCGTGGTGCAGCGGCTGACAGCGCAGTTTGATGCTCAGTGTGAGGCACGGGGGGCTGCTCATGGTGCTGCTGGTGCTCATGGTGTTCATGGTGCTGCTGGTGCTGCTGGTGCTGGTGCTGCCGATAGTGCTGCAGGTCCCACACAGCTTGTTGCTGACTTGAGAGCATCAAGCCAGAAGGAGGTCAACCTGAACCTCTCTCTCTAGAAACCCAGTATATGTGATGTGTGTGTTGTATCCTGATGCTATGCTCTGTCTTGGAACAAATTTAGTGAAGAGCAGCTGTAGATGACCCAATGTTTTTGTTCTAGCTCTCATCAAGAGAGGCATTTTGCAGGATGGAGAGGGAAACTCATTGGTGAGTGATTGGCTCAGGAATGCAAGTGCCGGTAACTTTCAACAACAGGAAAGTGAGCAAGTGATAATACATAGTGAACCCTCACAATGTGTACAAACATCAATAGTAGCAGGTCCACACGTCCACCTGTACCCCACATTTCTCCTTGGCCCCACTCGCTGCCCCCCTGCTCTCCACCTCATCCTCCTCACCCGCGCGCGGCCCTTCCCACTGCTACCACTGCCACCACTGGCATCACGGCCCTCCATTTCGCGCTACACGTGAGGCATATCGCGCTGGATCCGGGTGTTTATCCCGTGCACTCCAATGCCGGCCCATCCTCTGCTCCTTTTTCACTGGCCCCCCGGCTCTCTGCCTCATGGTCCTCCTCCTCACCACCACACCCTTCCCCACTGCTGCCACTGCCACCGCTGCCGCCGCTGGCGTCGCTGCCTTCCATCGCGGGCTGCACCTGAGGCACATCCAGCATGGACCCGGGTGTTTCCCCCGTGCACTCAGATGCGCGCCCCTCCTCGCCCACCCCCGCGCACGCCTGCAGCTGCCGCACCCACAGGGGGAAGTCCACACTCGCTGCAATCGCCGCCGATGCAGAGTCTAGTGCTGCTGCTTCGGGTGCCACAGCCTCGGCAGCACTGGGATGTCCGGTCTGCCGAACCTGCAGAGGCTCGGCCAGTGCTGGGGTGGTTCGGAATGGCAACGGGGACGGTAGCGGCAGTCTAGAAGGGTAGGAGGGACGGGAACGGTGGGGGGTGTCTGGGGAGAGGAGAGGGAAAGGGAGAGCTGTGCAGGGCGCGCTGGGGAGTGCGCTGGAGGGTGGCGCATTGCCATGGTGCGCCTGCGCGGGAGGAGCGAGGGGAGCAGCAGCGGTTGGCGGAGCAGCAAGATTTCCCAGGCGGCTGGGAAGGCCATGGCGACGGCGCACGTGGGCGCGGCCGGCAGCGCCGTCCGCTGCAGTCTGCGCCTCGTGCGCCTTCCGCTTCTCCCCCGCTCGTTCCGCCTCTTCCGCATCCGAACAGGGCGACGCGGGCGGATGCGCTGCCTCCCCGCGCTCCGCCAGGTTCGGTCCCTCCTCCGCCTTCTCCGCCAACCCCGTCCCCTCTTCCGCCTTCTCCGCCGCGCACTGCGTTGACTCCACCTCGTACTCTCCGCACCGTCCGCCGCCCCCATTCCTTCTGCCGTTTCTTCCCGACGAGCTTCCGCCTCTGCGCACGGTCGCAACACTGGAGCCCAGCTCCCGCGCGTGCACCGGCGCCGCGGCGGCCGTATCTACCCCGCCAGCCGCGCCCACGCGGCCTCCAACGGTTAGTTGCGCCGCGTCGTGCGCTGCAAGTGTTGCGACATCATTTGCCGCGCGAGCGTTTTCCGCCTCCCTGGCGGCTTCCGTTGCGCGCTCCTCGAAGTTAGTGTTCTCGCTCGATTGGTCGCCGCTGCCGCTCGCACTCGACGCGCCGCGCATTGTCGGCAGGCGGTGCCTCAAGCCTCCTTGGCGGACGACGAGTTTTCTCTTCTTCTGCCCGCGGGCAGCGGCGAAACCAGGGCTGTCCAGCATCTGACGCATCCCGCTCAAAATGCCGAGCCGTTGCTTTCGCCGCCTCTCCTCCTCCGCTTCCGCCTCTAGCTTCCCCAAATCCTGCGCTCCGCCAGACCCCCTCGCTTCCCCTTGCGCCGCTTCCTCGCATTCCCGCGCGTCCATCCGCCGGCGCTTGACTGCGCGGAGGCGCTCCTGCCACGTCCAGGGCCAAGCGGAAGGCTCCTCCGCTGGAGGCGGAAGGGCTGTCGTATCCCCCGCAACCAGAACAAGCTGCAGCTGCGACGCGGGCAGCCCCGACTCGAGCGGGTTCACGCTAGCGCCTCCCCTCTCCGCGCATGCCTCTCCCCCTCCCCCGGGAGACGGGGTTTCCGCCAGGGGTTCACGGGAAGCAACGCCCTCTCCTCTTGAGCACCGCAGCGGTTGGAATGGACCAAAGGGAAACATTGGTGTGGCAGGCTCGGGCCGAACCAACGACAATGGCTGGGACGCGCCACCTACGGGAGACTCCGCGAGAGAGGCGAGCGGGAGAGGCGGCTGGGCAGGCGGGAAAGAGAGCGGCGACGATTTATCTTCGGGCCGCTGTGAAGATCCCGGAGCGCAACGAGGATCGGCGGACCGGCAGGTATTCGAAGGGAGGCCCGGGGGAAGAGGAAAGAGAAAGTCTGTACTACGCGGATTTGGTGCGGTGGGAACGGCAATGGCGGGCCGCGTGGGTCCTAGCTGAAGAACCTTCCACGTGTCGCTAAAGCTCTTCGATTTGGTGCGATTCCGCGACAGGTTTATCCACGCCATGGATTCGCTCTTGGCTCGCTGTGACTACCGAGCTCGGGTAAAATACGAGGTTATGTCGAGGAAGGATCAAGAGATTGGTGTGCGTGATGGCTAAGTCTCCACACGGGTGAAAAATATTGAAGTGCTAAGACGAAAGAAAGATGAAGTTCTCTTCTGCAGGGCTGTGGCTGTACTGTACCGTATGTGCGCAATGCAAAGCGAATTGATCGAGCGTCAACTGGTCGCTGTTCCCCCCCACACCCCACTTCTGCCACTCCTGATCCAGTCCAATTTTAGATTCTGGAGTGCCTGTGTAGCAGCTGAAGGACCACCCACCCACCCACTCCCCCAAAGCAGAACAGCGTGCAGCAGAGCAGAGTGACAGCGCTGTGCTCGCAACAACCTCCATTGCCAGAAAGAGCAGGAGTGTATCTTGCAGGGTTACTCTCTCCACTCCCACTGGAAAAAAAACGATTGATACGTTGCACTGTGCTACACTCAATAAAGGGTTTGAAAGTTGGAAGAACTCTAGGAGGATGCGTGAAGCTTTACTGGAGCACCTTCAGCAACACTTGAGGTTGTTTAACCGCAATGGAAAAAAAAAACCAACTAAAAGTGTGAGGATCGATTCACTCTCTCGCAGCTTCGCTCGTCTCCATTGTTTCGAGAAACCACGTAGTTTGCCCAACTCTGAATGAAATGGTTTCATTGCTGCCCTCCGAATCACATGCTCCTCCTCACGCGATTCTGCAATGGAGATCGTTCAGGTGCGACGACGACTAACCACGATTTGCTGAATGCGTGGATAGATTGGAAGCCGTTGTGACAACCATTAGCAACATGATTGGACAATCACCTGCCGTGAGAGCTAGCTACGTGTCGCAAAGTGTGAGGAGGACAAACACGAATTTGCGATCTTGCACAAGGGACCCTGGACGATCACATGATCGTCAGCTTGCCAGCGAACCAAGGCTGGATCCGACGGCTGTGTTTATTGTCGCTTTAGAACCAGAAGCGCAATCTGTGGTTGCCCAGACCCACGGGGAAAATATCAGAAGCATGGCTTCTAGATGGCGAGTCTGGTACACTCGTTGCGAGAGGCACAAAGGAACGAACGATCATGCCGACAAGCAAAAAACACCTACGCGTGACAGTTGTAAAACTCGAATCTTTCTGGGACCTGAGCATTTATTCGCTTGTGGAAGCTGCAGAACACGCGAGTGTAGCAACATAGAGGAAAAATGGGGACAGCTTCAATACTTTATATTTACAAGCACTACATCATGCATAACAAAAGCCCCTTTCCACGGCATTACTACAGTTTCAGTTCCAGGTCCAGGTTGGAAGCCTTCATTGCGTTATTTTCTCCTGAAGACTTGTGTGCAGATCCTCTATAAGTGGAGCTGGCAGCAACTGCAGCAACCAGAGGAGTAGCCCCTCTTGTCGATCCCTCTTGAACTCCAGTCTTAGTCTGCCCCCACTCCACACGTATCCTCTTGGCTTCCTGGTGACTTCCCTCCATGATACTGTTCCATTCCCTACCAGACGATGCCAGGTGGCGTGCTGACTCATCAACATCACTTCCTCCATGGTGGCCTGTGCTCTCCCCAAACTCAGATGGCGCATGGTGCAGGAGAGGCTTAGAGGTGGACAACTGAGGATAATCTGCAGAGCGAAAATTCAAGAGGGTATGGGAGTTAGCAACGGGATCAGCTGAGCCTGGTGGCTGTGCCTGGAACGAGTGGATTGGTGGTGCTTGTTGCTGTGCTTGCAGCTGGGACCGTAACTGCAACTGTGCTTGTACTTGCATCTGTGCCTGCGCCTGTGCTGCCTGGATGTGGGGGGTAGGATAGGCAAACGCACTCCCACTAGCAGCTGGTACATGGCTGTGGTGCAACGGGTTGAAGAGCGGTGGTGGTGGGTGTATGGAAGGAATTCCTACCATCCCAGAGGGCAAGTGGTGGCCAAGAGGGGACAGAGGAACTGCAGCAGCAGCAGAGGGGAGGGAGGGGTGGGAGTGATGGCCCCAAGCGTGAGCCATGGAAGCAAGATGGGTGGCAGTTGCTGGGTGTGTCTGCATGGGCATGGGCATGGGCATGGGCAGTGCAGGCAGAGGCAGGCCTTGGAAACTACTGCTGGTGGTGGTGGCGCCAGGGGGAATGGCACCAGGGACGCTGGTGCCAGGAGGAGGTGCCATAGCCCAGAGGTTTCCCGGGCCTGCGGATGGGAGCGCGAAGGCGGGACCAGAAGCAGCGGCACTGGCGGCAGCAGCAAACGCTGCCGATATAGAGGGATGGCTCCCAGCAACAGCAGCAGCAGCAGCAGCAGCAGCAGAAGGATGAGGACGCAAAGCACCAGCCAAGCCTCGTTCCTCTCCATGATGCCCCACCCCATTGCCCCCTCTCTGTGCCGCGTCGCCATTCCCCTCTGGTTGCGCCTCCACCGAGTGTGACCTGGCAGGTCTGGTTGAGCACGCAAGGCGGTCCTCGTCCTCGGCGCGCACGGACCCCACCTCCATGGACCCCCGTGTGCCTGCCGGGCTCTGTTTCGACTGCTCCGTCATCGGCTCGTCCGTGCAGCTCCCAGAATCCCCTGCTTCCGCCGCCGCTGCTGCTTCCGCTGTACTGGGCCTCTGGGCATCTCCTGGTGCGGCTGCAGGGAGATTGTGAGCGGTGGTGGGCGTGGCGAGGGTGAGAGCGAGGGCGGGGTGGGCGGCAGCGGAGGCGGGTGAGAGCGGCACGCGGTCGAGAGAGACAGTGGAGTTGAGGCTCAGGCGGTGGGTCAGGCCAAGCGGGGCCACGGCAGAAGCCGCATCGGCCGCACCCGTGCCACTGCCAACAGCCACGTCTGCTGATTCCGCTACCGCCGGTCTTCTCTGGTGATCCGTCCGGCTTACGGGAACCACTGTAGCAGCACCGTCGGCGCCATCAGCGCCTGGCGAAGCAGACACAGGCACCTGGATGTCCCCCTCTGCTGCTGCAGCTGAGGCGGCAGCGGCGGCGCAGTTGGGGAGGCTGAGAGAGCAGGGGCCGGGCGGGGTGTGGTTGTGTGTCCCGTGGTACGACACCTGCGGTTGCAGTGCTGCTGCACTGGAGGGGGGGGCGGCGTCAGAGGGCTTGGCGACGCTACCATCGGCTGTAGCGAGCGAGGCTGCAGCAGCGGATAGCGATGGAGCGGAGGCTGTAGCGGCGGGGGTTGTAGCGATGGGGACATCGACGGTCTTGCGCGCCATGCACCCCATGCTGTGCCGCGCACACCGGAAGTACGCCCTGATGATCGGAGGGCGGGGGAGAGGGCGCAGTCAACACTGAGTGCTGTCATGCGTTGCTGCCGAGCTGACAACGACGGGGGTGTGTTGTCGGTGAGGGATGGAAACGGGCAATTTTCACGAGATTGTACGTCAAGGGGAAGTACGGGAGGGATGGCAAACATGAGGGGCAGCAATGGGGGCGCCGTCGCCTTCACAACGAGGCGATGATGGGACGAGCACTGTAGGAGAACAATTGCAGCGGCAACAACGACGATCACCTGCAGCGGCAGGAGCGGTAATAGGGCTTTACCCTGTTATGGCTGTAATTCGGGAGGGCTGTACTTGGTGACGGCGCGGTTCATGACGCTCTTCTTCCCGTACTTGTGCCAGAAGTACCCGTCCGGCTATACCTGTTTTGGCTGTATCTGGGGAGGGCTGTACCTGGTGATGGCGCGGTCCATGACGCTCTTCTGGCCGTACTTGTGCCAGAAGTACCCGTCCGCCGCCACCACCGACCGACTCCCCGCGTGCGCCACGGGCTTGCGCTTCCTGCGGGGACGGACGGGAAGCGTGGAACATGATGCGACGGAAATTGCGGGGGACGTGCGACGGGAAGTTGCAGGACGTGCGACAAGGGAGGGAAGTAGCAGCATTAGGAAAGCTGGGCAGGACGAGAAACGGAGGGTGACTGGCGGATCGAGAAAGGACGAACAAACGAGAAATGCGGTTTGCATCATGGCTCGTTTCATAACCGTGTTTCGACACCGGTTAACAGTCGGACAGATCTAACACAAGCGACATTGACTTACTTCGACGCTCCCCGCGCCGAGTTGTTGTTCGGACCCGCGCTTCCCCCGCCGTCGCCTTCTTGAGACGCGCCGCATTGGCCGCCGTGCAATGCGGCAGTCTCCGCGGATGCACCGGCGACTGATACCGGCGGCGGAGCGACGTCCGAAGAGTGATGATTCTGTCCCACCGCCAACGGCGCTGCGGGCTTGGCGAAGACGGACGGAGCCGCGTCGCAGCGGTCGGATTCGAAGCGCGAGGCGCCCGGGAGCGACGTACGCGATAGTAAGTGCCTCGACAGAAGAGGTTCTTGCCCTTTGCTGTGGTTGCTGCGTTCGTGCCATGAACGCGGGTCGGTCGTCGGGCTCTGGCCGAAAATTTGCGAGCTCTGCCCCTGCGCCGACGACCCTGCATTGCTGGCGTTCTCATTCCCTCCAATGTAATTGTAATGAGCGTGACTGAAGCGATCGCTGTGTGTTGTCGCGGTGTACGGAAAGCTTTCCCTCGGCGAGCCGCTGAAAACGTCCATCGTTAAGCTTCCGGCGCGCGTTAGCGCGGAGGACCTCGTGGCAGGGACGGGGATTGCGGCAGATGCGCCGCGATCCGAAGCGGATCTCCGAAGCGCGTCGCCGTGAGCAATTTCACTGCCAGGGGCGGTGAAAGCGCCAGCGCCGGAGCCGGAGAGCGACGCGAACATCAGCGACGAGGGACCCGGACCCCATGACGGCGACGCGAAGGAAGGGATAAGATTGAGGCTGGACGGCATGTTCTCCGCCGCATTTGACGGGGCTAGGGGGAGTGTTGGTCTGTTGTCCGGCTTATTAAGCCCTTGATCAGCGTGTGGATACATCACGATCCGCAGATATTTAAGGAGGAATTATCGACTACTACAACTACTAAAGTCGACAACGCTAGAATGTATGTCGTTAAGAGTACCCTCCAATGGAAATGCACGGCAATCACGGTGCAGAATAGGCGATACAAGCGCGTATTCACGGCATATGTTGCTAAAGTAAGTCGTGAGTGAGTTAGTGTAGGAGATACGGTAAGCGTATGTCTCAGGCTGAACCAGAACAGTCAAATTTGTGCAACTGGAAAAGAGGACGGACGGAATAACACGACCGAGTCAAGATGGACTCCCCAATGATCGGTCAGTCAGGGCAGGGAGGGACGATGCACATCCACCCATGTGCCTCGCCTCGCCTCGACCACGCTAATTTCGCTTTCCTGTTGTGGCCATGGCTGCTGTGGCTGCTGCTGAGCTCGCTCACCGCAATTGCCTGCCCAGCTGACAATGGGGGGGTGGAATCGAAGCCCCACTGAACTCGTCGGGATGGCTTTTGCTCGCCCTTTATGGGGTGCACCGCACTGTACCTGACCAGGAGCAATGCTGCGGTAAGCACAATGCGGTGGTAGCTGTCTGGCGCATGGGGGAATTTTGAACCTCGCCACTGGTGGTGTGATGCCCACAAGTCTGAAAATATTTGTTGTGCAGAGGAGATTTTGCATTTCTTTCTTCCCTCAACTCTGGTCTGGTCAGCTCTCGCATTCGCGGCTCCAGCACGAATTTCCGAGTTGAAGCAGTCCATCACCTAGGCCTGGACAGCACACCATCGACGCACCCTTCTATCGGCACTGAGGTCTATACTCCTGGTTAGCTCCATAATTAAGATGCTACTGGTTGGAAGTACTGGCAAATTGGTTCAACCTCCTGAAGACCATCCCGCAAGTGAGGTTCTTGACGATGCTTGAAACAACCGTCTGGGTTAGTTTTAGAAGGGGCGCACAGAAGAATGCCCTGTGACTGCACTGATTTCCACAACCACCCATTCAACATAGGAGATGCGGATTTATACTAGTTCGTTGCGGACGCAACACATTGTTGACAGTGCATGTGATCAGGTCAGAAAGAGTTTTGGGGGGGAATGTACAAGTTTGTCACCGCCTTTCCTAGCAATACGCGCAGTATTGTGCCACCGCGTCGGTTTGCAGCAAATTGAAGAACAAAGGAAAAATCTGGATGGTCAGACTTGGCTCCAAGCTGGATGGCACTTTAGGTGCATTGCTGCACACCCCATTGAACAGAGACACGAAGGTACTGTACTGCTCAACCAGAAACCCCCTTGACACACACAACTGGGTCCCTGATGCTATATAAACATATCCCTGATATTTCCAAACAGCAATTAGACTACACGCTTCGCACATTCGTTCGGTCCTAGCGCCTGCTTTGTGGTGGTATATAGATACCCTGACACGGGAAGCCCAACCTTGTTTATCAACCCAAGTTTGGGCTCTCGTTTCAAGGGGGTGCACACAGCCACTATAAAGACGGTTAAGAACAAATAGTGTACACAAGGTCTCGACAAATACTTTGGATTTGAGAGAAACAGTGGCCGCGGATACGATATTCACGGGCGGTGTTCATCAAAGGCCATCGAGAAATCCGTTCTTCACCAAGATTCACGCCAAGCTGCGCTGGCCGTTTTGTTGTTGCATGAGCTGTCGTACAGTAATTAGCGGCGGTGCGGTGCGAAATCACGAGCAAAGTTGACAAAGTGCACTAGCCCAGTGGAACAACACTACACCAGCTCATTCTAAAAAACCCATATCTCCTACGGTATTTAAACACATTATGCGCATCTGTGGTCCAATGCTGCTTCTTTGCATGCCATATAACCGACACTTTTGACAAATAAGCTTCACCTTGAAAGCTGTATAATTGTTCGCACCAAGTAAGTAACGTACTGTAAATGCATGACGCATCACGGCTTTCCCTCCGCATTGGATGGTGTGTGCGGTCAGTATCTCAACCAGGATTGAATGTACTGTCGAGGGAATGGCCAGTGCAGCGCGCCAGTCTTATAATTTTCAATTCCTTCTGGCAGTAGTTCTGACCACGCTCCACCTTTGCAGCCGCCTCCATGTTCTTTGTGATGGAAGTTCACATGTTTCAACCAGTCAGCACCAATTCACATCTACCCAGAGAGGAGAATCTTCCCTTGGCGGTTCTCCACCATCTGGTTCTTGAGAGCAGCGGCAAACTCTGAGAGGTCCATTTTATCGCCAGTAAACGGGGTGACGGTGCCATTGGCGATGAGATCAAACGCCTCCCTCACCACCACCTGCCGCTGCTCGTGGCTCAGCGCCTTCAAGCAAGGGCCCACCCAGAAGCCCTTGAGCGTCACACCCCTGCGTTGCGCAGTTGGGAATGGGAAAAACACACCAAGGGAGTTGTGATACGAGGCAAGGCGAGCTCTGGTACAAATCCGTTTGTGTGAACTTCACCACGAGGGGTTAAGTGAGCATAAAAACAGTTGATAAGCTGGCCAAGGAAGGGCGAGCAAGCAGCATCTGACCTGAGTGGAACCATACAATGAGAACGAAAAGTTCAGCGACCTGAAAATGAAGTCCCCAATGGAGGCGGAGAAGGTGGCCCCGGATGCGCCCCCAAAGAGCAGCACGGTGCCGCCCGGACGCACGGAGGAGAGCACTGCGCCCGTGAGGTCGCCCGCCACGCTCTCCACCGCTGCATGCGCCAATCTGCCTCCCGTTATGGCGCGCACCATATCTGGTACGCTCTCATCTGTTGAGCAGATCACCTGCACGTGAGCATGGGGTTGTGCATGGGGATGGGGATGGGAGGGGCGATGGGACGAGACGAAAGTGAACGATCCTCATCACTGCACCCACGCCTGCCTTGCCAGTCATATGCGCTTAACTTACCACAGCATGCGCCGCAGGAGTTACGGGATTCAAGCACGCAGGCACGTGCACAGGAAATGTGGGAGGCAAATTTACTGATAACTTCTAAAGGAATGACAGAGGGCTCATACAGCAACATGAGTGGGGGCTCAGGGAATACAAGCCAGAATGAAAGGCTCATGTCTCACAGGTGAGTGAGATCACCCACTGAATGATGCTCATCGCTGCACCCACGCCTGCCTTGCCATTCACGTGCGCTGCGTTTGGAATGAGCAAGAGTTGTCCTATGCATGCGCGCAGGCACCCGTACAAAAGCAAATTTACGTGGCAATGGTTGACAGGGTTAGCAGAAGGCGTGGCGAGTGGGTGCTCAGGGAATACAAGCCAGAGTGTTGGGCTCATGTCTCACAGGAGAGTGAGATCACCCACTGAATGTTGTTCATCACTGCACCCATGCCTGCCTTGCCAATTACATGCGCTGGGCTTGCCGCAGTATGAGCAAGAGTTAAGTGTTGCACGCGCACTGGCACCCGTACGGATATGCTTTGCAGGGGAAACAGACGTATCAGAAGGCGAGGCGAGTGGGGGCTCAGGGAATACGAGCCAGAGTGTTGGGCTCATGTCCCGCAACGTGAGATCACCCAATGAATGATGCTCATCACTGCACCCACGCCTGCCTTGTAGGTCACATATAAACCGAACTTATTGCATAAATCAAGTGCACCGGCAATGCGCGAAGCACATATTCACTGTAGCCCGTTCAATTGACTTTCTTCACTTGGTCATTGGGTTCCAGAAAACCGTCCCAAACCAGACTGCAGCAGCTTTGGAAAGATGAGGGTTCACCGGCGCAGCGAGCGCACTGACGCTATCAAGGAGCGGTGGTGAGTGGGGAGAAGTGTCCTTCCCGCTCGTCCACGCGCCGCACCACCACGACCCGGGCCAACGCGTTGCGCATTTGCAGCAGCTCTGATGGGTAGGAAGGGGAAAAAGGAAAGGTTTGTTTCCGGGACTAAGACGGAGGGGAAGGAGGCGGGACGAGAGGGTTTTGGGGGGAGGATAACGGGAATGCAGGGGACGGAACGGGAGAGACCGGGAGGGGCGGAGGAAGGAGGTGAGGAGCGGAGCAGTGCGCGTGAGCAGGAGTAAGGGCGGTACGAGATGGCGCATGCAGAATGAGTTCACGTGCAAGTGCGGATAAAACGGAGTGAGAGTGGGCGGGGAGAGCGGACGCATTCGGCAGGGCGGGGAAAGATGAGAAACACCACTGCTCTGCGCACTAAGGCTAAGAATTAAATCTGAATGAGCTGCTTCTGACATGGCCGGACGGAGACTGGGGGATTTCAACTGAAGAACCCTCGACCCTGATCTCCCTGTGCAAAATGAAGGGGTTGGCGACAGATGCGAAAGAAAGCGGCATGTCACGAGCTCTGCCCCACGTGACCCAGGGGTGGGTCGCTGCAGACCCTCGGTAAAACCCGTGGACAGAATAATCAAATTACTAGCTAATGACGAACGTGTACAGCCAAATATTAGATCAGCTATACTACAAACAGCAGGGCCGTAAGGACTGAACCAGTGTTACAATTTCTCCAGCAATGTCTCATGCAGACTGCAATAATAAAATCTATCCCGAGAGAAGAATCTTCCCTTGGCGGTTCTCCGCCATCTGGTTCTTGAGCGCAGTGGCGAACTCTGGGAGGTCCATTCTATCGCCCGTGAATGGAGTGACGGTGTTATTGGCGATGAGACCAAACGCCTCCTTCACCACCGCCTGCCGTTGCTCATGGCTCAGCGCTTTCAGGAAGGGGCCCAACCAAAAGCCCTTGAGCGTCACATCCCTGCATTGGAAGCAGGGAATGGGAAAAACACACAAAGGGGGGGCTCGTGATATGAGGCAAGCCGAGCACTGGAACAGATCAGCGTGAATTTCCCCACAAGGGGTTGAACGAGCGCCCGAGCAGAAAATAAGCCGGCCAATGAGAAGCAAGCAGCTTCTGACCTGCGTCGAATTGCAATGAAATAGACCTCATCCACCTGTAGATGAAGTCGCCAACGGAGGCTTAAATACAGTGAATTCAACTTCACCGACCTGAAGATGAAGTCGCCAATGGAGGCGGAGAAGGTGGCCCCAGAGGCGCCTCCAAAGAGCAGCACGGTGCCGCCCGGGCGCACAGAGGAGAGCACTGCACCGGTGAGGTCGCCCGCCACGCTCTCCACCGCTGCATGCGCCATGTGCCCGCCCGTTATGGTGCGCACCCTCTCTGGCACACTCTCGTCCGTTGAGCAGATCACCTGCATGTGAGCATGGGATTGTGCATCGGAGTGAGCAGTGTGATCATGAGGATTATGTGTGCGCTGAGCTCTATGAGCAGCTGTGCATACTGAGCTCTCGTATGGCGTCCCTGTTGGCAGCGGTTGGGGAGGGTGATGGGAGGATCATGAGGTTTACGGCCGTGAGGTCTCACGCAACGCAATGCAATGCTGGGTGAGGCCTTGATCTCCTACCCAGCATTGCGTTGCTTGAGACCTCACGGCCGTAAGCCTCATGATCCTCCCCTCACCCTCCCCAACCGCTGCCAACAGGGACACCATACGAGAGCTCAGTATGCACAGCTGCTCATAGAGCTCCGCGCACACATAATCCTCTCGTACCTCCCTCCCTCCCTCCCTCCCTCATGTCTCCCCTTCCGCCTGCCCCGCTCTGTCTCCCTTCCCCCCACCCCCACAAGCACCCCCTCCTCCTCCTCGCCTCACCTCATCGCCGCCCAGCGCCTTGAGCTCGGCGGCCTGGGCGGCGCGGCGCACGACGTTGATTGTCCTGATGCCGCGCGCGCGCGCCACCTGGATGAGCATGCGGCCCAGCGTCGACCCCGCCTGCGTCTGCAACAGGTACTCGCCTGGGGGCGGGGAGTGGGGGAAACCGGGAGGGGGAAGGGGGAGACGCGTTGAAGGAGAGGGGGGGGAGAAGGGGAGGGAGAGTGGATGACTGCGCTGTCCTGCACATGCGTCCATCAGACATGTATAGCTTGCCGCCGCGCTGCCTCAGCACATGCGGCCCAGCGTCGACCCCGCCTGCGTCTGCACTAGATACTCACCTGGGGGGGAGAAGGCGGGGAGTGGGGGGGAAATCGGGGAAGGGGAAGGACAGCGAGGGGGATATGTGCGAGTGAGCACATGGAGAGCACGTGAGTGTGCGCGCCACCTGGATCAGCATGCGGCCCAGCGTCGACCCCGCCTGCGTCTGCACCAGATACTCACCTGGGGGGAGAAGGCGTGCAATGAGGGAAATGAGGGCGTGGAAGGGATTGGGAAGGGGAGGGAATCGGAGTGTGCAGGGGTGGCGGTTTGAGAGGGGGGAAGGCACTGGCAGTGGAAGGGAAGGGGACGGGTGAGGGTGTTATGTGCGTGTGCACTGCACATCTAGGCCCTCATCATTCCGCTCCTCCTCATTCCGCTCCACCTCATTCCGCTCCTCATCATTCCGCTCCTCCTCATTCCGCTCCTCATCATTCCGCTCCTCCTCATTCCGCTCCTCATCATTCCGCTCCTCCTCATTCCGCTCCTCCTCATTCCGTCCCCCCATAATTCCGTCCCCCCATCATTCCGCCCCCAATCATTCCGCCCCAAATCATTCCGCCCCCATCATTCCGCCCCCAATCAGTCCGCCCCCAATCAGTCCGCCCCCAATCAGTCCGCCCCCATCAGTCCGCCTGTAAGTCCGCGTCTCACCCTTGGGAACGTTCAGTTGGTTCAGCATGCCCAGCACCGTCAGCGGATTCACCGCCAGTTGCGCCGCGTCCTCGTCGCGCACCCCCGCGGGCACCAACGCCACATGCGCCGCGTCCACCGCTACGTACTCCTGCCACGCGCCGCCGCCCGCCTCCAGCGCGCCAAGCGCGAGCAGCGGCACGACGCGCCGCCCCACCGCCAGATCCGGCGCCGATTGCGCTGTCGCTTCGCCCAGCGCCGCCACGACTCCCATGCCTTCCAGCCCGAGAGTTGCGGGGAGGGCGCTTGCCGGCGCGAATCCCGGATAGTAGCCCATGGCGCAGAGGCCGTCCGCGGGATTCACGGGCCGAAGCTGCATCCGAACCAGAACCTGGTTCGGGCCGAGGCTAGGGACGGGCTTGTCTGTTACGAGCCGCAGGTTGTCTGCGAGGCGCTTCGGCCCCTCGTATGCGAGCACTGTAGCTGCGCGCTGCGTCGCTGGGATCTCGGCGGCGGATGACGTGGCCATCGCGCGATGCGGCAGGCACGAAGGGCCGGGAGACGGCGGCGTGACGTGCGGCGGCGTGTGCGGGGCAAGAGGCGCGAGTGCGGCGAGGGAGAAGGCTCGGAGAGGAGCTGATCTGGCGCGGAGGTGAGGAGAGGTGGGTACTACTAGCAGAGGAGGAAACGCGAGGGAAGCGAGGGAGACAAGGGAGGCGAGGCGGGCGGGTGCTTTGGTAAGCATGACCAGGCAACCAGGGGGGGCGGCGGAGGCGAGCGCGCTGAGCAAGCACGCGGATCTGGATGAGATGTGTGACGAGGAGCAGGAGGATAGCTGGCCGAAGAATGATGAACGGGTGCGTGGCGTGGAAGCGTAGGTGTGGTAAGAGGGAGGGGAGGGGCGAATTTCCTGTTTCCATTCTCCAACATTGTGCGACGCACGCGCGGACGCGTGGCTACCCACGCCACGCCAGATGCATCCGCCGCGGATCGAAAAGCACATCCGCGTTTGTGCAGACTCCGGTAGCAATCTAAGTGGCACCAAATAAAACTAAACAAAGCAACAACTACCGTACGATGCAACCGCGGCACGACTAAAATGAAGATGCTTGCACAAAGTGCAAACATCAAAGTGACAAAAGCCCAGTCGGTGATCTATTGCGCAGCCGCGGAGGCTGAGAGCACATCAGCGGAAACCCAGGTGTGGGTCTTGGTGGGAATGATACCCTGGCGGCAGTAAAACACACATGCCGGCTGCTTCACCTGCGCGCGCGCCTCATCACTGCACGCGGGCGGCCAGTCAGTCGGCAGAGCGGGCGGCTGGGAGGTGCCGGTGGTGCTGGGGTCGGCGAGGGCGAGAATGGCGGGGCTGAGCTGCTTGCGGCACAGCTGCTTGCCAGGCGGGCGGATGAGCGAGGGGTCCTCCATGGCGTTACGGGAGTACTTTATAAGGAGGATGGCCCAGTAGAGCGCGTGGCCCTTCTTGGAGCATGCCCATCTGCGGTGTGGGGGAGGGAAGGGCACGACGTGGGAGACAAGGGGTGGGGGTGGAGGTGGGTATACGAATGTGCGTGAGGGCTGAGAGCAGCAGTCAGATCATGGAAGCGCGTGGTCTTGCTTGGAGCAAAGGCATCTGGGTGGGACGGAGGGAGAGGCACAGCATGATGGTATGTGATGGCCGGAATATGCATGGATTGCAAGCATGGGGATGGGGAGGTGCATGCACATGGGGCAGGAAAGGCAAATGTATGAGCAGGCAATGACAGCATGGCACAGCACTAGGATGGTTTTGAACCGCCTCAGCAACAGCCCTGGGAATCACTTCGTCGCGTTGGCACAGTGGCACACGAGACGAGACTTACTTTGCGACGCGCTTCCCCGCCAGTGCCATGTTGCGCACGTGCCTGTCGTGGTTCTGCGCCCACCGCAGCTTCTCCACCAGGTTGTCAAAGTGCCGGTTGGCGGGTATGAAGTTGACGTACGGCTTCAGCATCGGCACAAAGAACTCCGAGTAGGGTGAGTCCTGCCTGATGGCCACCTGCAGTCACGTCCATCAAGGGGGAGGGAGGGGAGAGTGGGAAGGGAGAGAATGTGGTGGGTGGGGTGTACCGGTTGGCGGGGATGAAGTTGACGTACGCCTTCAGGCACAAAGAACTCTGAGTATGGCGAGTCCTAACAGCATAACAGCCTAACAGTGTAACAGCCTAACAGCGTAACAGCCTAACAGCGTAACAGCGTAACAGCCTAAAAGCGTAACAGCCTAAAAGCGTAACAGCCTAAAAGCCTAACAGCCTGACAGCGTAACAGCGTAACAGCGTAACAGCCTAACAGCGTGACAGGCTAAAAGCGTAACAGCGTAACAGACTAACAGCCTAATAGCGTAACAGCATAACAGCATAACAACCTAACAGCATAACAACGTAACAGCCTAACAGCGTAACAGCCTAACAGCGTAACAGCCTAACAGCGTTACAACCTAACAGCGTAACAGCCTAACAGCGTAACAGCCTAACAGCGTAACAGCCTAACAGCGTAACAGCCTAACAGCGTAATAGCCTAACAGCGTAATAGCCTAACAGAGTAACAGCCTAACAGCGTAATTGCGTAACAGCATAATTGCGTAACAGCGTAACAGCCTAACAGCGTAACAGCCTAACAGCGTAACAGCCTAACGGCGTAACAGCCTAACCGCGTAACAGCCTAACCGCGTAACAGCCTAACCGCATAACAGCCTAACAGAGTAACAGCCTAACAGCGTAACAGCCTAACAACGTAACAGCCTAACAGCGTAACAGCCTAACAGGGTAACAGCCTAACAACTAACAGCCTAACAGCTAACAGCATAACAGCGTAACAACGTAACAAGGTAACAGCCTAACAGCTAACAGCATAACAGCGTAACAACGTAACAAGGTAACAGCCTAACGGCCTACCGCACGCTCATACGCTGCACCGCCCGCCCATACCCTGCACCGCCCGCTCATACGCTGCACCGCCCGCTCATACGCTGCACCGCCCGCTCATACGCTGCACCACCCGCTCATATGGTGCGTACGCTCAGCTCGGCGCCTCAAAAGTCAGCTCACCTGCGTGCCAGTGGTGAGGATGGGGCGCATCTGGTGGTGGTGGGGTGCGCACTGTGGGTGTCCTCAAGTTCGCCCAGGGGCCCATGTCGGTAGCCCACTCACCCGTGTGTGCTCTCACGTGTGTGTTTTCTCACTCACCTGCGCGCCAGTGGTGAGGATGGGGCACATCTGGTGGTGGTGTGCGCTGCCTGCCACAATGCCATACTTGAAGCGCGCCGGTGCTGCCTCCTCCACTGCCGCCCTGCCCTGCATCGCCACCCCGTCCGCCTTCATCCTGCAGAAGAGAGTGGGGGGGTGGGAGGAGGGGGAAGGGACGAGGGAGAGAGGGGATAGATGGAGGGATAAATTGACTGCCGCCCTCCCTGCATCGCCACCCCGTCCGCCTTCATCCTGCGAAGCGAGGGGATAAGTAAGAGAATGGGGAGACGGGAAGAGGTCAAAGGGAGGGGAGAGAGGTGGGGAGAGTGGGGAGGGAGGAAGGGTTAATATGACTGCCGCCCTGCCCTGCATCGCCTCCCCGTCCGCCTTCATCCTGCCAACAAAGGGGGGGGGGGGTGGGGGAGGAGGGAGGAGGAGGCAGTGAGGAGGGGGCAGGAAACGGAGGAGGTTTGCCTGCATCACTCACTGACTGACTGCCGCCCTGCCCTGCATTGCCACTCTGCCCTCTCGCATCCTGCAGCGTCACCAACAATGGAGGGGGGAGAGGGCACGAAAGCGGGGTGAGGTTTGAGGGGGAGAACGAATGTGGAGGGCGGGGGCAGGCAGAGTGGGAGGAACACGATGAGAAGGTGATGGGACGAGCAGATAAGGAGCGGATGTGAGTAGGAGCAGCAAGGAAAGACGCAATTATGTTGCTGATGCTGATGCTGATGCTGATGCTGATGCTGATGCGCTGATGCTGATGCGCTGATGCTGATGCGCTGATGCTGATGCGCTGATGCTGATGCTGATGCTGATGCTGATGATGCTGATGCTGATGCTGATGCTGATGCTGATGTTGATGCGCTGATGCTGATGCTGATGCTGATGCTGATGCGACGATGCTGATGCTGATGCTGATGCTGATGCTGATGCTGATGCGCTGATGCTGATGCTGATGCGCTGATGCTGATGCTGATCCGCTGATGCTGATGCGCTGATGCTGATGCGCTGATGCTGATGCAGATGCTGATGCTGATGCGCTGATGCTGATGATGCTGATGCTGATGCGCTGACGCGGATGCTCATGCTCATGCTGATGCTCATGCTGCATTGCAAGGTGTGACTTCAACAGAACGTGGAACCCTGCATCTTCCTGGAAAGTGGAACCCTGCATCTTCCTGGAACGTGGAACCCTGCATCTTCCTGGAACGTGGAACCCTGCATCTTCCTGGAACGTGGAACCCTGCATCTTCCTGGAACGTGGAACCCTGCATCTTCCTGGAACGTGGAACCCTGCATCTTCCTGGAACGTGGAACCCTGCATCTTCCTGGAACGTGGAACCCTGCATCTTCCTGGAACGTGGAACCCTGCATCTTCCTGGAACGTGGAACCCTGCATCTTCCTGGAACGTGGAACCCTGCATCTTCCTGGAACGTGGAACCCTGCATCTTCCTGGAACGTGGAACCCTGCATCTTCCTGGAACGTGTGAACGTGTGAACTATCACTCACCTCTTCCGAACCTCCAGGTCTCACCTCTTCCGAACCTCCAGGTCCAGCTCTCTGCTCCACCCATACAGCTTCGCGTCCAGCAGGTCTGGCCGTGCCTCTGACAGCCTGGGGTGCACGGGATGGGGAGGTTCGGCAGGAGGCATGGAGCCGAGCACAGGGCAGGGAGCATGCAGAGGAGAAGGGTGAAGGGCACGCATGGCAGTGAGAAGGGCACGCATGGCAGTGAGAAGGGCACGCATGGCAGTGAGAAGGGCACGCATGGCAGTGAGAAGGGCACGCATGGCAGTGAGAAGGCCAGGAAAGAGAGAGTGTCGCAGCGGGTGGGAGATGGCAAGCTGCTGATGGGCTATGAAACGTCTCTAAAGCTGGGCTTTAAGATGTACTTGGGCTTTGAGAAGGCTCACAACTGACCTCTGCAGGCGGATGAGTGGGTTGGCGCGCCAGTTGGGTACGTCCTCCAAGGGCAGGCTGCTGATGGGCTTTAAGACGCGTCACAGCTTGAACTCTCACAGCTTACCTCTGCAGGCGGATGAGGGGGTTGGCACGCCAGTTGGGGACGTCCTCCAGAGGCAGGCTGCTGATGGGGCCGCGGAATATGGCCCTGCTCTCCTTCTCCTCCCATGGGATCTGCAAGTATGAGGGGGGCGGAGAGGGAGGGGAGAGGCGGGGAAGGGCGGGGAAAGGAGAGGTAGATCCTTCAGAGGCAGGCTGCTGATGGGCCCGCGGAATATGGCGCGGCCCTCCTTCTCCTCCCATGGGATCTGCCAGCGCGGATAAGGATGGAGGAGGGGCAGGGGCGGGGAAAGGGTGCGCACAAGGGCACAAGCGGGTGGGCACAAGCGGGTGGGCACAAGCGGGTGGGCACAAGCGGGTGGGCACAAGCGGGTGGGCACAAGCGGGTGGGCACAAGCGGGTGGGCACAAGCGGGTGGGCACAAGCGGTTGGGCACAAGCGGGTGGGCACAAGCGGGTGGGCACAAGCGGGTGGGCACAAGCGGGTGGGCACAAGTGGGTGGGCACAAGCGGGTGGGCACAAGCGGGTGGGCACAAGCGGGTGGGCACAAGCGGGTGGGCACAAGCGGGTGGGCACAAGCGGGTGGGCACAAGCGGGTGGGCACAAGCGGGTGGGCACAAGCGGGTGGGCACAAGCGGGTGGGCACAAGCGGGTGGGCACAAGCGGGTGGGCACAAGCGGGTGGGCACAAGCGGGTGGGCACAAGCGGGTGGGCACAAGCGGGTGGGCACAAGCGGGTGGGCACAAGCGGGT